CATCTGCTTGCTAGTTCAGTTTGGATCTGCTACCTATGCATTTTCAGCAGATATTACAGGCCTTGATATTCTCATTTAATATTAGGATTTAGGGTCCCAAAACCAGGGTTTTCCCCCAGAATCTGCTGTATTTTTCAGACTTTCAAAGATAAATAAGGTGAAAATTTAGTTTTCTGTGAGATTGACTGAGGAAGTAGTACTGAGGCAAGCATGAAGTCCCTTGTCTCAGCAGGAAGGTGGCTTTTAAAGCTAATCACAGACACTTAAGTGCCAACTTAATCACTTCATTGCGGATTAATACAGCATGTCTGAAGTTATCTTCCTTCCTTTGAAAAGCTTTCCAAGCAGAAAGGCAACAGCCTCTCAATTTTCAGTGGTATTTTTTTTTAAATGCAAGTTGTGATTTGGGTGACTCTTCTTTTGCAGTGCAGTAAAAACTTCCTAAGGGCTAGTCAGACTGAAAAAGAAAAATATTCAACTGAAAGCTTGAAGAGGATTTATTAAATATGAGAGGGCGTCCAGAGTGGGCAGGATAGTGATGCCCAGAAGTGAGAGACAGAGAGACATGGAAGTTTGAAGAGGCAGTGTGAAGCCAGTAGGTGGATATATATTGTTAGAGCTGAAATTACACTGGCAGCTGCTCTGTCGATAATGGAGGAAACAAAGGAAGAAGTGTCTACCCTTTTCTGATAATAGGAAGTCTCTGAAGGGAGACTGAGAGATGGTCATGTTGTCACATTGCCAGGAGCAAGAGAACAGTTTCTTTTGGAGTATTTTAATCCCCAGTGGTTTGGGGAGAGAGGGATTTAATTACAGAGATCTGAGATAAAGCTCTTAATGCAAATATCCCCATGAAGATAGTGTCAAATCAGGATTTTGCCATCTGCACCTGTCTTCAGAATTAGGAAGTACAGGAAGCAGTGGTGCAAGACCTGAAGGATGATTGCAGCACAGCAGAAGTCTTGCATTGTCCCATGTGCCATGAGGAGTTCCACTGATGAGAAAGGTGGTGTGGATAAGGCAAAGTCTGAAAATTAATAGCTTCCTTTTCAGGCTTAAATGTGTTCTTAATGGAGTTAGAGATGTGGTCTGGAGTTCGAGATGTGGGTCACAGAATGGGAGAGTTTTGTATATATTACTATGACGTGAGAATAAAATTAGAGGCAATAGATGGAGAAGAAGGCAGTGTTTTGTGAAACACTGTGATGGGAATAACAGATAAAAATGTTAGTGATAAAGAGATGTGTAAAAGTGGGTCTCTGAAAACAGACTTCGAAAGAATAGCTTAGGAGAGCTACTTCACCAAAAGAATGAAAAGCAAGATTAATCAATAGTTTGGGAAACTTCAATGAAATCCAAGAATAAGCTTGAGAGATGGTCTGTTGATAGAGGCCAACACTGAAAAAGCACCATGACATGATTTATTTGGCTCAAGTACATTAATGAAGATTTATTTTTTTAGGTATGATGATGATCATGTTTTCATTATGTTAGACTGCACATTTCTTACTGTATGGTTTGTATGATGTTGGTATCTTCTTAAAATGAAGTCTTATGGTTATAAGTAACTCTCAGCACACTAAACTAGTATCTATTTCTGTTTAAATAGCAGTCAAATCTGGGGCAGGATTACTAGAACATTTCTGTCCTTTCATCAGGAACAAATAAAGGCCTTGTTTTATAAAACCTATCTAAGTAAAGGTATCTGCAACATAAATAAATATGGAAGCATTTTAGTTAGAAGACTATTAAATGTATATTACCATAACTATAGTAGTTGAAGATGACTGAAGTTCTCAAGGTGTTTTGATTCCCCTTTCCCTTATGTTGGTAGTTTGATGTGGACCAAAGCATTTCAGATCAAATATATTCAGCTTGTAAGAATGTCAAGATCAGGGTTATGAATTTTTTATGCAAAAATCACAAGTTCTTTTGAATGCTCATGAAACTGCAACTGGTAGACAGAATTAGCCAGTCTCTCAGTCACAGAGTCAAGGATATCTGATTGTTGCTGCAAATACATAGCTATTGCGAAATTAAGCAGAAAACTGCATCTCTTTTCTGTGCAAGAAATTGTAGCAATGTGGGGGAAATACCAAAAAAATGAATTGGTCCACCAGAGTTTTCTCCCAGGATTGTGTAATCCTCTAATGTTCCCTTGCTAAGGAGTTTGGAGTTACCTTAAGAGCTGCTGAGTTTTTTAATGGAGTCTGTTATGTTGTTGTTCCCCATTGTGTTACTCACGTAAAAAGTAATACTTTCCTTCTCACCCTTCAGTGCAATAATTGTTGAGAAGCTGAACTTCTTGGAATCCATTGTATTTTTGTATAATGAAAGTCTTCTATTAGGAATGACATGTTCTTGTTTCACATTCTGTAATTTGACTAAAGAAAGCAATTCAGAAAACACGAAACATTTTTTTTTTCTTTAGTCATTCCAGTTTTCATTGCCTGCTATCTCAAAACAGAGGCAACTGGAGCACGCACGTACTAAATAGCATATGCTTTCAGGCAGAACATAATCAATGGACAAAAAAATATCAGAATGTGAAGCATATTGACTAATTCTTCAGTCTAACCCATGGACACAAACTACAAAACACTGGGAAAATGCCTCAGCTGAAATGGTCTTTGAGATAATTCAGCTATGTTTGGTGGGCTGTGCTGGGAGATAAGGGGGCCCATTTGCTGTGATCTGTTGCCTCTCTGGTCTTTCTGCTGTAATAAGTAGTAGCTTTTGGTTAGTGTCAGCCACTGAATGAAGGTTTTTCTTGTTACACAACTGGTGATCAGCTCTGAATTGCACAAATAAATGACTCTCTGAATGCATCCTCCCATCAGAAAGGGCTTTGTTTTTGTCTCCTTCTGTCTGGTTTGCAAGTAAATTGTTCCTGCTACAGCCCCGTGTGGCTTGCTGCTCTCGCCCTTAGTGACAGCAAAGCTTGCTGGCTGGTGATCTCTGCAGGGGTTTATGGCTCAGCTCTGCTGTTCTCTCCCTCTGTTCTCACTTCTCTGTTCCCTCCCCTACTGTGACTAAATAAATTACCTGTATGACATGTTCGGTTTTCTCTGGCAAGAAACCTGGGAAATCAAATCTGTTCCTGAACCTGGGTCTCCCATTTGGCAAATATAATGCCTCCCTGCTGTTAAATCAGGTCAGCTCTCAGGAAAAACAAAGAACAATTTCATATAGCTATAATCAACACAGAGTAAATTTAGATAATGCAGCTGACATATGTTTATTGTAAAGACCATCAAGGAAATAATTTTAAAAGCTCTTCATCTTTGTTGCATCAGGATACATGGTGAACATTCTGTGCACAGAGAAGATCAAACATTTTCTTTTTGTTATCCCATATCAAAGTGAAATAGATCTATTTTCTGTCTGGTCTAAGAAGATTTTTGGTGGAGTGGTTCACTGGTTGTGTGAGAAACAGTTATGTATTTAATTATGGAGACTTTATGTAATTAATATTAATTGATAATTAACTATTAATTTCTATTAATTATTCATAATCTACTTCCTTTGACTTTCTGACCTCTGAAAGTGGAAATATACTTAAGTGTTTGGAGGAGGATAAATAAATACTTTTTAATATATTGTGTTCTCTTTCCTGCCTTTCCACTGGTGATGAGGCTGCAGGTCACCTGTGGCAGTGTGGCTGCAGTCCCACAGCCTGTGCAGTCTCCTTGCAGAGGGAAGCACCACCACGGGCAACCTCCTCTCTCCAGCTGGCAGCTGAATTTCCTGCTCAGCTCTCTGGGTGTCCCAGGGGGCTCTGAATTGCACCCCAGAGTCTATTTATTCATACACTGTTAATGAGCTTGTGCTCCACTGCCCAGGGCTGTGGAGCATCTCCAGACCCCTCCTGTCCAGCTTTGCTGTGCTGGGGCAGCAGAGCAAGGATTTCCTGTGGGCAGGCTGTGCTTGTGCTTGCTGGGCTCTGAAACAACTGCTGAACACCTGAGCTTGCCCCCAGCCCTTTTCAAAGGTGGAGCAGACATCTCCTAGTGCCACTGGGGCACCCTCAGCGCTGGTGTCAGGCTAATCTTAGAGGGTTTCCTGTGCTGAGCTCCCAGGGCCCACTTTGCTGCCATTTATTCACTAGAGTTAGCAAAAACCAGCATCCCTGGCTGCCCTATGGTCCTACACAGTCTTCTCACCACTGACTGAATAGGTGCTGAGGGCCCTGGCTGGAAATATTTTCTAACTGCAGCTGAGTATCAGGTTGCCTGATCTGGAGAAGTCCTGCAAGAACACGACACATGTGGTGCCCTGAGCAGCAGAGCAGACTGCCCAGGCCCCCACACGGTCTGTGTTTCAAACTCAGCATGAGAATAATGCTGCATTCTCAAAAATGGATGGGGTCAAATGTATATGCTGTGTTTTTAAATGATACGTGGCTTTCCAGGTCTTTTTAATGACAGCTACGGAGTTGCTAATAATTGTTTAGTCATTCATGAGTTGTCCTGGTTCTAAACAATGCCTTTGTTGTTTCTTCAGTGCTCTGAGACACACAGTGAATGCTTTATATCAATTTAAAAATTCCCTAAAATCTCTACTGCATGAGGCAAGTCCTTGAAATGGAAATTGCTCTTTATTGTCCAAAATCTTCATCCACTGTTATCCAACAAGGATTAAGAGGTTAAAGCAGTGAAATGAGTTTTAAAAAATGGGAATTCAGTTCCTGCATGCGCCAGGACTGACCTCTGAAGCAAGGGCCGTAATCTCCATCCACATCAGCTACCGTCTCAGGGACTGATAGCAGTTGTTATCTGTCCTCAACTTTGGCATACCAGGACAGATTGCAGATACCATCCCCTACTGTGAAGGTACAGGACCTCACTCTGAAAGGCTTCAGCTGATAGCATAATAGAAATAATTTCAGCTCTGTGTTGATGGCAAGGGAAAAACCTTCCTCATTCCCTTCTTAGCATGGAGGTTGGCCAAAGGAATTGCTGAGCTCATTCAAACGCGGCTTTACCTCTTGTCTTCTCCAGCCTGCGACCTGATGACCCTGGGGATCCTGGCGCTGGTGACATCGACGGGCTGCGCGTCGGCCAGCGCGCTGCAGTCGCTGACGGATGCCATGCACATCCCGCACCTGTTCGTGCAGCGCAGCACGGGCGGCTCCCCGCGCACGGCCTGCCAGCTCAACCCCAGCCCCGAGGACGAGGAGTACACGCTGGCCGCGCGCCCGCCCGTGCGCCTCAACGATGTCATGCTCAAGCTGGTCACCGAGCTGCGCTGGCAGAAGTTCATCGTCTTCTACGACAGCGACTACGGTAAGGGAAGGACAGCGCTTCGGGCGCCCTTCTGTTCGTTCCTTCTTGACTGGGAGGTGGGGAGGGAAAGGCAAAGGGAAGGGTGGAATACGGCATGCTGGGTTTTTCACTGACATAGGAGAAAGCGTTTCGAGTGGATGCAGGTCTTTGTCTTGAAGGAAAGGTTGCTGTGAAGACTAGTTCTCAGAGAAGGAGCAAAGTTGCTTAGCAACACCTACCCAGACAGACAAAGTTTGAATCTCCTCACACTTTTGCAGTGAAATATTAATCAAGTGTTGACATGGATCAGCAGGGGTCACATAGATGTGCAAGGAAGTTCAGCATGGTCTCTACCTGTTCCAGAAAATGCTTTCTATCAAAGCTGAGTACCTTTCTCTTTACAAGTAAATTTTCACAATGACTATTACTTTTTTCGCGTGCTTCCACACACTATTCTGTATCTAGACTACATTCACAGTGATATTCCTGGCATTAAACTGAAAAGTACAGTTAGTGTTTTCTCTAAATCTCATGCATTTCCTTCAGCAAAATTCTTACTTTGAGCTCAAATTTGAGGAAAAGGAGTCTCTGCCCAGGTACCTTATGATAGGCATGAAGAATAATAAAACCCCAAGTCTCTCATGCTGGGCTCTCAGAGGGAAAGGCAACTGTATATACGTTTTTTATATTCCCTCCACCCCTGCTCAACTGATACGAGCACTGTTCCATATGTTTAACTCATGGTACATTCAGCACCCCTGTCTTAACATATAGGATCTGTAATGGGGAAAATAATCTCCTATGGTACATTGTAAAACCCTGCTAATACTTTTGCTTTAAACTGTTACGCGTAATCTTTTAACGTGGTGATTTACCATGAACAGAATATAAAAAAAGCAAACTTAAGGTTAAATCACAGTAGGGAAAAATAATCTTATGTATATCTATGCATATAGACATGTCTATGCATGTATAGTTTACATTTTATACATCTTCCATCATTACAAAATAAATCTTTATTTGGATTCTCCCTATATATTATCAGATTTTCAGTGGCAAGTCAGAGAGAAATAGCATCTTTGGTTTTGAAGTTTAGTTAGTCCTGGTTTAAAAATCCCCAAAATCCAAGAAGCAAACAAAGGAACTACCAACAACTGAGTTTAAAAGGGTTCTAAAAGTCTTGGGTGCAGGTTTCTCTTCTCAGTTGCTAGATAGCTATTTGCTATTTCTTTAACAGGAACATTGAGGATGATAAGGATGGTTTTAAGTAGCAAATCAACTAAGACTGTAACATCTTTTTAATGACATGAAATTGTTTTAATCATGAGAAGACTTCCATGATGCTTGCAGAGCTAATCTGTAGGTTTAAAATCTAGGAACCCAGCAAATAAACTGTCCTGTAATTACTGTCCTCTGTAATACTTGAACAGCGAATGCTTTGAAAGCAGAAGTGGTTTTGGTGGCCTTGTGGTAGTGATAAAAATGCTGCTCTTTAGCAGAGGATTGGGTTTAAAGAGTCTAAATTATTCTAAGTTATCTCAAGAATGAAAGGGGAAGAAATAACCTTATTAGGATGTCTTAAAAACACCCCAGATGTTTGATGTGCAAATTGCTATTGCCTATTTTTCCCTACTAGCCCATCTGCTTACTGAACTATGGTATACCTTATTCCAGTGATGCATCTATGTTTCTTTGTCTTTTTTTCTCTCTTTTTTTCTCTTGCAAAGACTTAACACATGTCAGTAGCAAATCCTGAAACCCTTAATTCACATACCTCTAAATTCAGTTTCCATCAAATTTATCTTTTCCATTTGGCACAGACTGTTTCAGTAAGACGTTAATGTTATAGAAGATTGCCAGAGGCATTCTGCTCCTTCCAGTGGGGAGTGTGGTGTGCATTACAGCTGCTCTTTCCTCTCCTTCTGCTCATGGATGTGACATCCATATTCCACTGGAAAAATTTTTTTCATAAGAATTTGGTGGGAGGGGTTTCCATAAAAAAGTCAACAGAACCTTGCCAGATCTGGGCATGGGTTGGTGAATGGAGGATAAATAACCCACTCCCCAGGATATTGCATGCTGAGCTCCAAAACAGATGCCTGGCTCCTGGGGCATGGCCCCAGCACTGAGCTCCCACAGAGCCCTGCTCCTGCTTCTCCAGCAGCACCTCCCTGCCCAATGGGCAGGAGTTCTTGCTGCCTGTGATGAGAGGGGTGATGCATTTGTGACTACAGAGAGTTTTCAGTACTAGGCTTTGATGGTTTTCTATAAGTGGTCCTTCTCTACTTGTTCTCTGAAAGTTCCTCTGAGTAGTGTTTTAATTTAAAGGTCCTTGGTGTCCTCCTTGTGGAATCTGGCAGATTTTCTGAAGACTAAATAGCATTGCCTAATTTAAAGAACCTCCCATGCTGTGCTATGTTGAAGCTGAAAATTATTTATTAGAGTTATTACTTGTCCCTTCTTTGGCATACATTTTGAATTCTAATTTATGTGGAAAAGTAATGGACTTGGCTGTTAGAAACATGGAGTAGTTTCTCAACAGCCTAACAAGCCCCTAATAGTCTTGTAGTTACAGTAAAATATTTTTTTTTTTCACACTGAAATGACAGATAAAAATGTACGCACAACTTCAGTGAAAGGATATAGTCCTTTATATAAAGTACCTTGAAGTCTTCAACAAGAAATCAAGAGATTCTGACTGAGTTTGTACCAACAGGGGAAAGATTGGTTGATGATTATCCATTCAGTTCCTCTGCATTTTTACAAGAAAAGATAGAAGTTAATACAGATGTTGTATCTTTATGATTTAGCCCTTGTTTTTGCACTTCTCTCATTTATGGTTTGTGTGAGGTTTCAGAAGGTGCACAGAAACCTGTTCCTCATTGATCACACTTGAAGGTTGCTGTTGCTGAGACTGACATTCATTTTTTGGTGAAAAAAACCAGCTCCCCCTAAGTTTGCCAGTGGCTTTCAGATGGTGCTCTGTGGAGCCAGTTCTACTCAGCTGTAAAAGAACTTGCAGCAGAATTCTGATCTATTGTGTCATCCTAAGAAGATTCAGCTGTGCTGATGTATTTTGAATTATGCTTTCCTCTACAAGAGCATCTTCTGCGCCTCTACATATATTGCAACAATGTGTACAGGCCTGCTGGGAAGTTTAATATTTTATTCTGCTGACCTTCTGGATCTAGAAGCATCAGCAGTCAAACTTTCTGACAGAAAAATTGGTAGTGATTGGTAGAATCTTACCAAGCTGTAAAATGACTATCAGTTTAAAGCACTGGGTACCACCCACCAGAAGATGAGGTTGGGAATTAAACAGTTGAAACTGTGCTTCTAGGGTGAGCAAATAAACAGATCTGTGGTTAGAGGATGGATTTGAGAATGGTTTTGGAGCCTGGATGTGAAAATGAAAACAATGAGGCATATTAAATCATATTTCTGAAGAGAAATGTGAGTAATAGCTATGTTTTCAATAGATTAACCTTACTACTGAAAAACACTTTTTATCTCTATAGTTAGATTAGGTCTCTGCTTTCTTTCATACACGTCTGAATATCTATATTACAAAATGTAAGATAAAATAGGAGTATTTTATGAGTCCATTTTGTCAATGAAAATGGTACTAGACCTGTGAAAAGTAGCTGTAATAGTTCTTAAGTTTTGGTGTCAATAAGTGAGTGTTGTCTGCTGAAGAAAAGTCTTGTATAAAGGTTTTACAGAAGAAACTTCTGAAGAACATTTGACCTTCCAAACTGAGCCATGAAGCTTGGTTTCTACAGGAGAAAATCCCCAAGGCTACAGATTATTTGTGGAGTTGTGTTATTGCGTGTTTTATTATCATTTCACAATGTAATGGTTCGTTCCCGTGTACCCCCACATTCAGCTTGGTTTGTCCCTGTTTTCCCGCCTTGCCCTGGGTGTCAATCCTCCCCCGAGTGTCAGTCATTGCCTTGGCCCCTCCCAGGCTCCCTGTCCGTCACTCGGTGTCCCCGCCCATACATCCAGAACCTTCCATCCTGGCTGCCCGGTGATTGGACAGGGGCCTGGGGCCCCGCCCATATCCATCCCTCATTGGTTCCCTTATGTGTCTGTCTATACAAAGCCACTCCCCTTGTGCTCCCATTGGCTGATCAATTCCCTCCTCTCAGTATATAAGGTGTTGCAAGCGCCCTGCTGGGGCTCTTGTTAGCTGGCGTTGTTCAGGTGTTGTTGGGCGCTGCTGGGCTACAATAACCTTTGGATTCAGCCCCTAACAAGAGACTCTCTTCTTTGCCACGCCGTGGGATTCAGCTGCGCCTGTCAGACCCACAGAGCACTCTCCAAAGCCCTGCTGGGCTCAGCGGAGGGTGCTTCCATTTGCCCTTCTTGCCCCATCGGGAGCTAGCCGGGGCAGAAAGGGATCCAGAACTGAGACTGGGGTGGGAGCGCGGCAATTATTGATTTCTAATTTTTTTCCCCCAAGGTTGGAGGTCTATTATTTTTCATTGGTGCTGCATTAACTTTGAATGCCACTTGATCAATCTTGCTATGTGGAAGGAACTTAATTTTCAATATGACTGGTTTTGTGGGAAGTTGTGTTTCCCACAGCAATTATGTGACAGTTTCATTTCTGAGTCCTGCCTGTTAAGAGCCTCAGCCACGATTGTAAATTACAGGAATTGTGCTATTAATAATTTTACAACAAGATATTGGTCCTGGAATGGTCTGTCTTTTGTCAAGATCCCTTTGTGCAGGCTGCTACCCTTGCATTTATTTAATTTGCGGAGGAATATTGTAATGAAAATTGAGAAATTCATGCATTTGTACAGTCCACGTGGAGCACTGCGAATCACTTGTAATGTGAAACATTGACTGTCACAACAAAAAAGAAGCAATGCAGAGGATTTGCACATGAGTTATTTTCACCTTACCTGCTTTAAGTTTTCTTTTATCTTTGTCTGTTTATAACATAAATTATCTTCTGCTTTCTGTGTCATGATTTCAGCTGCCAGACAACCACTTCTGCATCACTGGGGCTG